AACAGTAACAATGCAGTAAAAACTTTTGAAGACTTTAAAACTGGTCGGTTCCCCCCACACCCCCTGAGACAGGGTTTCCCTTTGTAGCCTTGACTGTCCTGAAACTAACTATATAGACTAGGCTGATCTAGAACTCAGAGATCTGCCTACTTCTGCCCACCAAGAACTGGAATTAAATGCATGTGCCACCATGCCTGGCTAAATTGGTCATGTTTTTAAATATATAGATACAATAAAGTATTCTTCAGAAGAAAAATATTCATGAACAAAACTTAAAATCAAAAATTTACCAGAAATCTAAGAAAACATGGTGATACATGCCCCTTTCACTATTCTAAGTTATAAATGCATTTATTTTTAATCATTTACTTTGTTGGGGACAGTGCTAGGTACTAACCAGGGCACTCTACCACTGAGCTATATCCCTATCCCTCTAAACATATTTTACTTTAAAGATTTCTTGAAAATACAGATACATATTTATTTTTACTTATCTTCTTCACAAAGAAATTGCAAAAATTAATAAAATAACCTTTATGAAACTGTTCAAATGCATGCAGAAAATATGAGGTTATTTCACTTAAGTTTTAAACTATTTCAAACATAAACTTTACTAAATTACTACATTTTTATTTATTGAGTGTGGTGGGGTGTGTGTGCATGTGCCACAGTATGCCCATGGTGGTCAGAGGACAAGTGGCAAGAGTGAGTTCTCTCTACTATGAGGGTCCCAGGTATTGAACTCAGGGTAGCAGGCACCATTACCCACTGAGTCATCTTACCAACCCCCGAAATAAATGTTTAAGAGGAACAAAATAGCTATGCTTTAGTGTACCTAATTTTAAACATTACATTTAACTACACGAAGCTTCTGGTGTAGCAATAAAGGAAAAGAATGGCAAATTTGTGTTTGTTTATAAACCTAACACACACTCAGGCTGGAAATTGTCTTTAACAGTTTTAAGTTAATCTGCCCCCAAGATAATATGTAAACTTAATAATAGAGCTTTTTTTAAAAATCATATATGGGTATATCTTGGTAATCTCAATGGTGAACTAAGAATGAAAAGCATAAATAAATCTTTTTAAATAGAATTCTATTATTCAATATAAAAATGGAAAGAATTTATGTTGAGTAGAACTCCAGGTGTTGGTTCATATCACTAAATAAATCACACATCCAAAAACTGGATTTGAATCTGATCCTTTTAAATTAAGGCAGATTACTTATAATATGCTTTTAGCTTGAAGAACATAGTAAAAGTAAAATTGGGAACAAAAGGAATTTGATAAATGATTTTAATGTTTACTTTTCCTAGAAAATTTTCTTAAAGATATCACTTCTCTTTTGTTAAAAATAAAATATTAATATAGCCATCTAGAGAAAAAAAACTTGATTAACAAATGTACCATTGGATTTTTGTTTGTTATTTTCTAGAGTATCTGTCTTGCAGTTTTTCCATCTTGCAGGAGATCATAACGCTAGAGCAGGAGATTAATTTGGGAGTAGATCTAATTGGATCAATTTTCAGTAACTTACTATGTGATTTTAGGTTAAAAATCAGTTACATCTATAAAATCGGAATAATCTTAGCTACTACTACTAAGTTGTGGTAAATGTTAAACACTAATGAATAATAATACTATGTCACATAAAAAAATGTACATGTTAAATTTTTTCCCTTTCTCCTTGCCATTCTTTTTGGTTATTACTTCCACCTACACTAGTCAAAGCCCAGCCTTCATAAATGTGTGGAATAGCAACATGCAGAATAAAAGGGTCAGAGCTGAGAGCAGGCAAGAGCAACCCATTGTTCATACCTTCCTTGTGCTTATGAAAATGAGCTGCATCATTTCCAGCATATATCCCTAGCACTGTCCCATGAAACCACCAGACCCTGAAGAGTGCCTTGAGCAGTGCAGTGTGTTTTACAACAAGCTCTTCCTTCCAATACATACAACAGAGGAGAACTAGACAGATACGGGCTGGAGGGAGAAGGTCCACAGTACACTACAAACCGTCCAACTTCTTCTCTTTCAAGACAGCAAGTGGTAACAATAGGCAGGCAGAGATGCAGACTTCCTACCATGCACCCTCCTCTTACCAACAGACATTCTGACTTATTATGCTAGCCTATTAGTACTTCAACTGGAAATGAAATTTCTATTAGAAAAGGGGTTTGTTTGAATTCTCACCATGTTGATTGCTACCCTCCTCCCTAAAATTCTTTTGCCATGGATGACTATGTACTTTCTTTAGACCTTCTTGGCCTCTTCTACTGTCTTTTCTACCATCTTTTCTCTGCCTCTTTATGTGACATTTTCTCTCCATACAGTCTCTATCAGCTTAATTCACTCTCAGGATTTCTAAGCACACATATTCTGAAAACCTCTTGATCTAAGTCTACTCACAACTGCAAGTTCAATAACCATTTTCAGTTGCTCTAATATCCTGCCTTGTTACAAGTATAAACACCAGACATTGCTATCCCTACTTCCAACAAAAAGTAGATCCCTCCCTGGATTCTATAATCACAGCAATGACCCCACTATTCTCTCTCACACATGATAAAAAAAAAAGAAAGAAAAAAAAAAGAAAAAAAAAACCACAGTGTTTTTTGATGCTTTCTTCTCTTCTCCTGATGTTCAAAATATACTATGGTCCTAAATCCAGAAAAGTCCCACTTCTATACTCCTGTCCTCCAAATTCCTATTGCCACTACAGTGATTCAGGTTTTCTCCATTTTCTGCAGATATCTCTTAAGTCTCAAGTCTCTCTTCAATGCTTTTTCCTATAGTCTCCCTGCTGTTAATCTTTCTACAGATGCCGTCTCAAAGCAAAGCCTTCAGTGAGTTATCTCTGGCTACCAAATTGGGCAGGTTCAGTCCTCATCTCCCTTCCCATTGGTGCCTCTTATTCCCTTATATACTACACACACTCCAGTATTGAAGACAAAGAGCCTTCTCTTTGTTCCTGAAATATTTCTTCCATTATGTACCTTACAGCTTGTGTATAACTACAAAGTCTGCCCTAACATTGCCCTGTCTAAAAACTTATGGCAGTTGTTAAGGTGATGGCAAGTGTAAGAGCAACCAAAGCCTTGCTCCTCATTAGGAGGAAGCTACTAGGCATCTAAAATAAAAGGACCATAGAGGGTAATCAAGTATAAGAAAGGAAAAGAAAATAAAGAAAAAAAATCCTAAATTCCATCAGAAGAATGGAAGTATCCAGGGACACAGACTCAAACTCAGGCTTGCTCAAGGCTATTCATGCCCATAACCATCGTGATTTTCATAACATCTCACTTTCAGCAATGCTGACTGGCCATGTACTATCTATCATCAACTGATATTCATGACAACTCGACCAGGTTGATACTATCCATATTTTAGACACAATGAAGTATACTCCTCAGGTTTTCATGGCTAATAGATGACAAGATATGGGGAGAATGTCAGCCAGGATCAGATTCACAACCATTCTTCTTTAGCTCTATTGTTCATGTGCCAGAGGTGCATATAAATTACAGGCTAGCTTTACTGGTTTGCATTATTTAGTTACCTCTGTAGGCACATATCTTGTGTGTACTATTACAAAGGCACTGTTTTCGAGTGGAGTCTATATCTAATATTTCTCTTTTTGTACCTATAATGAGCCTTCTCTACATTGTAAAAATGCAGTATTTGGTTCATTTGTTAAATATGTATACTAACAGAAATAAAAATTGACAGACATCTTTAGCTAGCATGAAGCCAAACACAAATATACATCATTTTGCTCCTTTGACTACTTACAAATCGGGATAATACTTAAACCATCAATAGGAAAAGGCCCTAAAAGACAAATCCCAACTACAAAATCAAAGATAGTTGGATGTTTATTGATAATAAAACTGATGCCTATAAGATTGTTCTCTTCTGGCTAAAAAGACAGTAGTTACTATGAGAAGCCATTCTATCAAGCAAATAAACAATGTGTTTAAATGTAAAAATAAATATGTTTTAACTAATGGTAAAACCTTTTGTCTTTCTGTTATGGAAAGATATGAATGGACTTATACCTTCTGCCCAGATTTTGTTCTGAAGTCAACATCAACAAATAAAGCAAAACCAATTAATAACAAAATATTGAAATTACTGAAACCTTTGAAAAATCCCTCAAATTGCTTTTACAGTATAATACTGTACCCATTCTCAGAAAGAACACAGCACAGAGAGACCACCACATCATTCTTCGTGTGTTGCTGTGGGATGGTCTGTATGTCAAATTGCTCTGATTGGTCAATAAATAAAACACTGATTGGCCTGTGGCTAGGCAGGAAGTATAGGCGGGACTAACAGAGAGGAGAATTGAGAGAATTCTGGGAAGTGGAAGGCTGAGGAGGGAGACACTGCCAGCCGCTGCCATGACAAGCAGCATGTAAAGATGCCAGTAAGCCACAAGCCACGTGGCAAGGTATAGATTTATAGAAATGGATTAATTTAAGAGATAAGAACAGTTAGCAAGAAGCCTGCCACAGCCATACAGTTTGTAAGCAATATAAGTCTCTGTGTTTACTTGGTTGGGTCTGAGCGGCTGTGGAACTGGCTGGTGACAGAGATTTGTCCTGACTGTGGGCCAGGCAGGAAAACTCTAGCTACAGTGTGTCATCTAAGGCACCAAGTTTTTGTTGGAGACCAGCTCAGAGTCACAGCAACAGTCATACCCAGACCCTACTTGTTTCTGTAACAGGTGTATGAGAACTGCCTGCACCTGAGGAACAGCACGTTTTTACCCGAATCTCATTCGTGTCAGCAGTGTGCACTGTAAGTAAGAACTCCAGTTACCAATCCAGAAAAAAGGTGATTGTTTGGCATTTTGCTTTCGTGCATTGGATTATGCTCAGATACAGAACCTTACACTGTATCTCTCAGTGTGCAACCACAGATGCCTAGAATTTCATGCACATATCATCTAACATAATAGTGTTTCAAAAAAACAAATAAACTAACTTTCTTACCGTCTTCTATGGATGCTTCACTGCTGTACCCATCATACTCTGCAGACAAAGGGCTGTATTTTTGCCTTGTTTCCCAGGCATAGTTCTTTTGTCTAGAATCCACCAATGGCCACCTGGAAGTGTGTGTTCTGGATAAGGCCTCATGATATTTACCCAGCGCTTCATCTTCACTTTCAGAGGATGAACCAGGCTCATCTCTGTCCATGTAGGAATTATCTATTTGGATAACAGTGAGAGGAAATTATAATTTTAATATACTTACATATGGCAAATTTATTTAAAACATATATGCATATATATACACAAATGCAAATGTGTGTATTTGTGTGGGCATACACACAGGATGAAACAAATTAGAACAATCCTTAAAATTATTGAAATGATTGATCATCCCTTACACTGAATTTAAAGCATACTATATGTATGTATGTAATGACATAAAATTTCAGCTTTAGAAAACATATTTTTCATGTAAGAATATCAACAGTTAGATTTTTATGTGTTTATAAGAAATATCACATTGTATATTCTAATTATATAAATAATCTTAGTCATAGGGGTTTGTAACCTTTTTAGGTACAAAGCAAAGTATAGTTGCCATGTTGTATAATTTTGTAAAGGATATGTTATATATAAATGAAATTATAAGTGCCGTCAATGAGTAAGACAATTAATGTCATAAGACAAATTTCTGGTTTTCATTTGGCCTATATTTTCAGAACTAGTAATGCTCCATACTAACAGGAAGCAGAGAAATGGGAAGACACAGACACACTGGAATTGCAACTGGTACAAGTTTTATACAGAGCATAAAACAAATCCAACATCAAACTCTGTGGGCTTTGAAAATCCCATTTCTGCCGGGCAGTGGTGGCACACACCTTTAATCCCAGCACTTGGGAGGCAGAGACAGGCAGATCTCTGTGAGTTTGAGGCCAGCCTGGGCTACAGAGTGAGTTCCAGGAAATGCACAAAGCTACACGGAGAAACCCTGTCTCGAGAAAAAAAAAAAAAAAAAGAAAAAGAAAATTCCATTTCTAGAAACTTGCCAAGTCCATTTCTAATTAGGTGAACATAGATATATATTTGTGAACTTATGTTATAGCAAAAGTAAACAAAATATATAACCAACATGCCTATCAATGGGACTTGGTTAGGCAAGTGATGACACATCCATTCAACATACGTACTAGGATTATGCAACCCTTTTAACATAAGTGGGTAAGCTTATAGTTCACAAGGAAAGGATAGAAGGTGCAGTTATATTTTTATTCAATAGATACTATACATACCTCAACATGCAGTCTATATTATATATAAATATATAAATTATATGTGTGTGTGTGAGAGAGAGAGAGAGAGAAAGAGAGAGAGAGAGAGAGAGAGAGAGAGAGAGAAGGATATACACCAAACTTATAACAATACCAGTGAAAAGCTGAATACTAGGACAATTTTACTTAATCATACCTAAATTTTAAGAGGTATAACATTTATATTCTCTAACAAACAGTAGAGCAGTTAAAAGTTCATTACTGTCTGAATAGGTATCACCAAACCTCTCTAATCTGCCAGCCACACTTAGTGTGTAGAGCGATATATAGCTGGACATTCCAACTTCACCATCATCAAGAATCTGACTAGACAGTGCTATGATAACTACACCAAGCCCTTCTGACACCAGCTCAGAGCATGATGTCTTGTGAAATACCAGAGTGAGGCCTAAAGGCAAAGGAATGCTGTGAGCCCCTCGTGGATGTACCCTCATGCAGACCCTTTGCAGTCAAACGTCCTCTATTCCAGAATGCCTTCCATGAAAATCAGAGAAATTCTTCTTTCTTAGCCTGCATCTTCCATGTGAGAGCCTACTACATTGGTTCTAGAAATACGACAAGTTAACCTATGAGCCAAAAACACCTGCAATCTGTTCAAGGGACTTGTTAAGGTCAATATTTGACTCTTCTTTGGGATATTTGAGAGCCTTTGGTTTCTTAAGATGCCAGAGTGCTCCTCATTAAAAACAAAGCAAAACAAACAGAAAAGTGTATAGTGCTACTGTAACTGTATTTATTCCTGGGAGCCATCCTATTGTCACTTTCTAAATCACCTGTTATTTTATTTCTTCCTAAGTAATAAATAAACAACAGAAATAAACAAGGCCACCAAAGCCCAATGAATCACAGATGCTATGAGAATGGACTCTACAATGAACACATCATCACAAACTGTATTTCTTTTTAAATAGCCTATGAGTCTAGGATCAGCTTCTCCTATGCCATTAAAAACCTACTGTTCAATATAGAGCAGATCCCTTACAGATGAGTCATATAGCAGAATTGAAAAGTCTTCCACTATTTTCCTGGCTACTCAGGTTTTGCTATCTTATGAGAATCTAAATTTATAGAAAAACTACAGGTGTACATTTTATAAACAAAAGCCAGTATTTGGGGGGGGCAGGGCTTCTGATCAGATCAGCAATAAAGAAGTGATGAAGGAATGCTAGAAGCAATTATCAGAAGTATGCACAGCAAAGATGTTTTGAAAGCTGTCACAAATATTGTAGCTGAACACTGTAAATACTTACTCAGAATCTTAATTCTATATAAAGAACTCATGAATAATAATATATTGCTCATGTACAGTCATTATGAACTAGAGCAGTCTCATGAAAGTTATAGGGTAAAGCTAAATGAATAAAAACATTCAGAAGCATGTTATTTAACAATATAGGAGCTACTGGTTTCAAGAAACATATAAAATATTTTACATAGATCCTTATTGGGATATATAACCAACTCAAGACTTGGTTATAAAAGTAAAACAAAATTTTAAAAATGAGTATCACACCAAATAAGTTCTAATTAAAGTCTGCATAAATTTTCTAGTATTAAAATAAACTGTAATTAAAATTAGGAAATGGGTATGGTGGTTCACACCTGTAATCTCAGTAAGTGGAGGCTCAGGCAGGAGGACCTCAGGCTCAAGGCCAGCCTGGGTGATATAGTGAGGTTCAGGCCAACTGGAGCTGCACAGTGAAAATCTACTCATAAAAACAAAAAAAAAAAAACAACATCAGGACTGCTGGAAATTGCTCAGATAGTGTAGGGATCACAAGCAATATCTGGTGGTATACAATAACAAGAATTAAAAAAATGACTGAAAAAAAATCTAAATGTCTCTAAAAATATCTCCAAGCAAGATCAAGGAAAAAATTAAATTAGATATATAGACGTGAAAAGGAAAGTTGAGAAATTTGAATGTTTTTCTAGTTTAAAAAAAATCAAGAGAATATTTAATCACTCAAACCAACATTATGAGACCTCACCTTTTTCTGGTAATATCTTAGAATATTTGCCAACTTTACTCTTGGCTGTTCCTCTCTTAGCAGAATTAGCTTCATTTTTCTTTGTTTTTATGTCTCCTTTCACTTTGTAGGATTTTGTTGGATTTATTTTTTCTTTGATTTTCCCAGGAAACTTAATTTTACAATTTGTTGATGGAGCTGAACGTGTGTATTCCCTCACAACGGATTTCTGCTCCCTGTGTCTATGGTTTCTTGTGTTATCTTCTGGAGAACATTCGTTTCCTGAACATTCATTCCCTTTGACTCCATCACGTTTACTATGTTTTTTCGCTTTTTGTAAGTGATCAGAATGCTCGACATTAGGAAGATGTTTACTTTTAGTGACGTTCCCCAATTTCTCTTGCTCTCTTCCCACAGGCACAGACTGCAGTCTGCCTTTAGAGTCACCTGTAGCCATGTACTTCTGCTCAGACACAACATTTTGTCCACTGGTGTTCAGACGTCCTTTCACTTCTAGATAACTTACCTCCTTTACAGAACTCTGATCATTCCTGGAGCTTCCTACTCCAGCTATCTCACCTTTGTCAGGATGTTCCAGTTCATGACCCGTGGGTGCATCCCCCACTTTCTGCTTGACAGCTGACATCCCATCATTCACGAAGCCTTGCAAAGCAGAGCTACCAGCCTCTCCAGTTTCTGTGTATTCTGAGGGTGTCCACTGCCCATCACGCATATAATATCCCTGTTCATGCATTTCTTGGTCTTGCTTTGGTGGAGCTGAAGTGTCACAACAGATTATTTGCTTTGCTTTGTGCTCTACATCAGACTGTGTTTTCTGACAAGCACTGTTTTTGGAAGTATCCCACAAAACTGCACTTTTGGCTCTAGAAGACCCTGCAGCCTCTTCTGCTGTGCAGCTTTCCTCCTCTGGGCACAAGCCATGCATCATACTTGCTACCTGCCCAGCAACTGAGTCAGTAAATGCATAGCTGACTTCCCCAACTGCAGTGCTCAAATCTTCTACAGCACTACTGATTGTGTCTACCAGGGAGGACACTGAAGGTAGATTCTGCTGAAAACTTTTGAAAAATGCCATTTTCCAGTTCCTTGTTCCTAAAAGGTGCAATAATGGAATTTTCTCTTCTTAAAATATCAACTACTTTGGAATGTGAATTTAACATTTATGTAAATGTTGCTATCATTAGCATGATAGTATTTCACACTGTGTCTTTTAATCTTTCTGTAAATGCAATATGCATTGGAAGAAATAACGTTGCAGTAAAGACTCCTCCGGAAAAAATAAAAATCAAATCACTTGGCTTAAGTGTAATGACATCTTTTCCCACTCCATAGCTATCAAAACAGCAGCAAGACATTATTTTTCCCTCAAATCTATTGGGTATTTAGTCTATACCTGAAAGAAGAAGTATAAAAAGGATTTTTATTATGTACTTTAGTTTACTTACTAAGAGTCAGTATAAGGGAATAACCCTGTTAACAGACTATCGACATTTCAAATTAAGAACTGTATTTAGAGGACAATAACTAAACAGTTTTGCAAGGTGGTAAAAACAGGAGAACAGGTGAGAGCATCTGCTGAATGGCATTTCCAAGACACTGTAATGGACATATTTAATCTTATTTGATGTATGGTAGCTTTATAAGATGAATGCTATCTTTACTTTAACAAGTCAAAGAAAAATAATAGGATATCTCTGAGATCTCAAGGTCACACGACTTGTACAGTGACAGTGAGGGGTTGTTTAACATTTTTACTCTCCCTGTGAGAGATAGACCTAATAGGGAAGCAGACACCAGAATCAAGTTGCTTCCTATTGTGCCATTCCTAACAGACCTATATGAAATGTATATGGCAATGCCACTCTTCTCTACAAATTCTTCTTTTGACTTGAAAAATTCTTTTAAAAAAACTTTAAAATGTTACATATATTCACAAACAATAACCTTATTGCTAGTACTTTTTTTTTTTTAATTCATAGAGGCTGAAAATGTAGCTCACCAACAAAGTACATGTATAACATATGTAAAGGCCTGGGTTCAATCCTCAGCAAAAACCTTTCCACTCAAAATAAAAAGAAAAGTAAGTTTGTAAGAGATAATTTAATTTTCTCAGTTTACTATCTAATACAGTACATACTAATAGATGTAATTCACACCAACAAATTTGGAATTTGAAGACATAAAAGAAAATCCAAGATAGCTGAACCAAAGAATTACAGAAAACTGATGGGGGCTTGGTGGAGAGGGAGGGAGGAAGGAACAGAGGGAGAAGGGAAAGAAGGAGAGTATGAGGGAGAGACAGACAGAGAGAGACAGGTAGGCAGATGAGAGACAATCAGACAGAGACAGACAGACAGACAGACAGACAGACAGACAGACACACACGCACGCACACACGCACACACACAGATTTTTAAGCAGTTCATTCACACAAATGAGTACATACAGGGCTGGAGTGGAATATGAGAAACACAAAACCAAGTCAGAACCATGTAAGGCACAACAGTTTCTAACACAGAAACCAAAATAATAATCTAGGTTATCAGAAAAGCAAAGCATTCTCTGGGATCTGTGCATAGAGAAGCCTGGCTCCTCTGCTCTCATTCTTTAAAACTCTCCAAAATTAACACCTTGGTTTTATCATTCTCAACTTCCTCCATTTATATCAGCCAATATTTGAAACAACAAATAAAGAGCTCTTACAACAATATTTTTAAAAGCTTCTCTAAAATGGGAAAATACGGTGTTAGAATCCTCAAGTTTCCTAGGACCTAGTAACACTAGAGCACAATCACTATGTGGTTCTAGGATAGAGCATGGTATGGAAAAATACCTCCTCCCAGCAACAACATCATTCCTCAGCTGAAAATGAACAGACAGGTAAAACAAAGGAAGGGTTAGTGGCATCAAAAGCCTGATGAGGACACTGTGAAAGCTCTCCTGAGAGCCAGGTTCACAATGGACCAGGCATTTTTTTTTGTTTTTTGTTTTTAAAGTATCATCTACTCAAAGCATAAGCTCAAGACGATGCCTTATCAATGAAAACTAAAAACATTATTTTGCAATAATAGACAACCACCTTTACATAGTAGCTTAACAATCTGTAGGCGACAGAAGACCTAAACATAATTACTTAACAGATACTTCATTCTTACAAAGTAGAGGTTCAAATGTTATGTTTATCATGTACCAAAGTCAACCTTCTCACAGAACCTATTAAAACAAGAAATAGTACAGATAAAGAAGCGGCGATGTAATACTTACACATTTTATCTTGTGAATTCTTCTGTGTGTTGTATCCTGAACCAAGATCTGGAAACCCTCCAACATTTTCAAAACAGAACTTCTTATTAATATAGAGAAAAAGGAGCAGCATCAAGACAATAAACACCCCAACCGCTGACAAAAATCCAACTGCCTCTGGAGAGACTAGAGAAAAGAAAGTCACAGCTGTCAGCATCTGTTTTCTCTAAGCTGTAAACAAGAAGGAAATTCCCAATACACACTAGATAGATTGTTGTCTAATTCCAATTACTTTTAAACTGTCATAATTTAAGATAGTTTGTAAGAAAACCCACAAAATTTAAAAAATAATTTTTCAATATATTCAACAACATTCATTCAAAAAAATTTAAATATTTCTAAATAAATATATTTAAAGAATTTTAAAAGAAAAAAGTCTAAAACATAGGTAGTTAACAAATTTTAAATCCATGAAGAAAACATAGGTAGTTAACAAATTTTAAGACCATGAAGAATGTTATAAAAGTTTTAGTACTGAATTAAAAAATATTTCTCATGCATAAAAATTATTAAATTCATGAGAGCATGGATGATTATTGTTTCTCATAGCTTTGCTGAACCTTTCTTATTAAACACTGGATTCCCTATCTGGCATTTATATTCCAACCTCTCCTTCCAATACACACCTCAGTCAAATGGGTCTAGTCTGCTGTCTCATGCTGAACATACAGTTTGGGGTTTGACTTGTCCTCTCCCTCTTGCCTGGAATGCCCATCTTGTCTCTCATATCATTCTACTATACAATGGAATTCCTGAACTATATGCCATACACCAAGCACTGTTCTACACATAGCTTCTGTTTTTTCACACATATGATGGAGGCAGTTAGAACCCACACCATACAGACTATCTGGAAAAGAACAGGGTCTCTACTTAGGAACACCAAGATCCACCACTGAAGGGTCAAATGTGCTTTTCTGAAAGGTATGGCTCTATGACCATATCTTATGAACTAAGAGGACTTAGACAAGTTAAGGAGCAAGAGATTTTGTTACGATGAGCTGTCAGACTAAACAGAATTTAGTATTAAGAGAATATACGTCACCACCCAAGGAGACTTGGACTCCCACCTCCAGCAATCTCACTGTCCTTTCACATCTCCATTGCCCAGCACAGTACCAGTCATCTGGAGTTAAACAAGAACCATGTGTTTGCATGCCTACTATCTTACAAGTATGAGTAGATGGATCTTAAATATCTCAAACATTACCTGTGAAGAATGACCTACTTCCCCTCCACTGCTCAAAGTAGGATCTACCATGCGATCTACCCCAAGATTCTTTAAGCAGAGCTCATTTGTTTAAAATGAGGTCACAAACAGATGAATGATTAGTGCTTTTATCTGTTAGCTTTTCATTATTCATGAAAGTCAGGCATACCATAAGTAGAACAGAGTATGACATTACAGTCTACTCAAAGCTGGGTCAGAGTGTTGCAGACATGACATTGTAAAGGAGGGGCAATGAAAATGGAGGGGCTGGCAGCAGCAAGTACATACAGTATATATCTTGTGACTAACTCAGTTTTCACAAAGATCCAATGACCATCGCCATCATAAACTGATCTGTAGAGACATGAACCATGTGTGCTGCTAGAATTTAAAGCTGCTAGAAGCTGTGCTTTCTACCAGTGCTCACATTGTCTCTCCTGTCTCCTCAACTCTTCAGTCCTTTGCTATCCCCTGCCCCCAACTTACTCCTATATTATCTTCCTCCTTCCATTCTGTGAAATTAAACCTCATGGGAAATTCAAGTCTAAACAACTAAGCATAACGAAAAGCAGTGAGCTCTATAATAAAGACAGGAATATAAACTGCTGGGTAGACCTGGGAGAGTCAGAGAACAAAAAGATGCATTTGAGTGTAGGTGAAAAGACTAATAAAAAACTCTATAAATGGAAAATGGCAGATGGTCACTAAAGAATAACAGTCTTGGCTGTTGTACTGACCTCTCTGTCCTCGTGTACCTAAGAGGGGAGGGGAGGGAGAATGGATGAATGAGTGAATGGATGGATGAACAAGTAAGAGAATATGTGCTTTGGAACAATAAGAAATATATTATGAGAATCAAAAGTAAAGAAGAAAGCAAGCTTTAGACTGTCAAAGAGTCTTGGGTATCACTCTAAAGATTTTGAACTTGGAGAGCAACAGGGTAATAACAGGCATGTCTTGAAAAATTACACTGGTAATGAAAAAAATGGGATAAAGTAGGGACTGAATAACTGCATGATTATCATGAGCTCTTAATGAAGCAGTAGCAGTGGTGGCAGAGAAAAGGGATGAATTCTAATTTTTGTTTGAAGAAAATAAGTAATGACCTAATCAACAGAACATAGAAGATGAGGAAGAGGTGAGGATAATTCTAATTCCATACTGAATGGTCAAGTAAGACAGTAGTGCCATTAACCAAAATGAAAAATATGAGAGGAAAGGCATTTGGTTTAACAGCATGGGGTAAAGAGGCATGTAGAAGAAGAAATTTTAGGGAAAATACTGGGAATGGTTTTGACATGATATATTAGAAATCTCAGCAGAATACTTCAGAGGAGAATATGAGCATGCTATTCTTGTGAAGGTAAGGTTAGTTATAAAAGACCTGGGGCTTCCCCCATTTGTTCCTCTTATACTATATTAAAACCTTCAATCACAAACTAAAACAAAGCCAACAAACTCAGATGTGAGGCTTTCTTAATAGTTAATCTATTCATTACAAATTTATTGATAAATACATGCTGTATATTTGGACAAATTAAAAAAATAATGCTTTTCTCCAATAAGAAAAGGAAAAATAGGCCTGCTACAAATAATGCTACTCATACAACCCTAATTTTATACATTACTTTATTAAATATCCATTTTCCTACACATAAAATACTTAGTCATAATTTTAAATATTAATGTTGTAGAAAAAACAAGTAACATTTTCTAATAGCAAATACTATAAATCTCCTGATTCCTATTTTTGTCATTATATCAAGGCCAAAATATTTATTATTTCAAATGAACAATACTAGCTCTGAGTGTATTAACATTTGCTAAATCTCACCTAAGCACAAAATTACAATAGAAGATACACTAAAATCAGACTACAAACATGAATATTGTACATAATCAATAAAAATTTATACTTAGATCTCACTAGTGATAATATTTTTCACTCAACTGGAATTTGTCCCTAAAATCTTATACTATGAATCTGCTTGTAGACATTCTGCATATTTCTAAGAATATGGTCAATTAATGTATGCATAGATGTATCCTTTTCAAGGCTTCTAGATTGTCCATCAAAGGCAAGTAAACCTATTAAAAATGCCTGTTGGGAGCTGGATAGATGGCTCAGCAGTTAAAAGCACAGGCTGCTCTTCCAGAAGACCCAGGTTCAGTTCCCAGTACCCACACAGTGGCTCACAACTGTTTGTAACTCCAGTTTCAGAGAATACAATATCTTTTTATGGCATCCATGAACACTGCATGGATAAAACCATGCACATAGTGCACAGATATACATGCAGGTGAAACATAAAATAATTAAATTTATATAAACATATAAAAATAAAATAAATAAATAAAAAAATTTTAAATTCCTGCTGCAGGGCTGGAGAGAGTGTTGTCAGTAAGCCTTCTATGCAAGCATGAAGGCCTGAGTTCAATCCCCAACACCACATAAAAGGCTGGACATGTAGTACAAACTTGTAATCCCAGTGTTGGTGAGGTAGAGATAGGAGAATCCCTGGGACTTGCTAGTTGCTCCACCTAACCAAATCAGGGAGCCCCAGGTTTATTGATAGACCCTGCTCAAAGAAAAAGGTGGACGGCTCCTAGAGAAAAAATGACACCATAGGCTGACCTCTGACTGTCCACATGTAGGCACACACATACATACACACACATAAAATGCTTTTTAAAATGCCTGTTTCTCCTAAGGAAAACCTTCAAAATCTCTAAAGTACACAGTCAACAACTCATGCATGTTGGTATTATATATTTAAAGAAATAAATTTACTGACTGTAGTCAATGAATAAAAACTCATAAGCGCACTGTTTTCCCATAATTCAAACTTTCAATATTTTAATGTGTCAAACAATAAGCCCAAGATACGTGATGAACAATGTTAGCAATTACTCAACACTTTTAGTAGAGACTTTCACTAGTATTGTCTCCTTTAATGTTCAATAAGCACATTTGATAAGTATCACTATTGGGACCTCAAAATAATCTTAAGTTTTTAAAGTTTCAATATTATGGTCAGTAATAGACCTGGATTTGAGTTTGGTCAGGCACTGAGAATCCAAACTCTTAACCCAGCAGTTCTCAACCTTTGAGTCATGACCCCTTTCACAGAGGTCACCTGAGACCATCAGAAAACACAGATATTTACATTACAATTCATAACTTGCAAAATTACAGTTATGAAGTATCAATGAAAATAATTTTATAGTTAGTGGTCACTACAACATGAAGAACTGTATTAAAGGGTTGCAGCATTAGGAAGGTTGAGAACCACTATTAACTAGAAGTCTCTTTGCTTGACATTTACCAAGCATGATGAAATTTGCTTTCATTTTAAAATAATTAGATTAATTTTAATATTAATTTAGTATAAAACAATCATTTTAGTCTCAGATTAGGCAGCTGAGGTACAGGGCTTGCCAATGTCACAAAATCCATGAAGTGGTAGAATCAGGGTTTAAACACAGATATTCTGACTTGAATCTCTTGTCTTAAGCACCAGACAGTACTGCTCCCTAAATGCCAATCTGCATATAAAAGTAAAGGAAAGCTATTGGCCAAAACTACAAAGCTAACTACTTTGTATAGTATGTTGTATATGTATAGTTTAGTTTTTATGAAGGTTAAAAAATAGCAAAGAAGCTCAGTTTTTTCAAAATAAATATGCAAATTATAAAACCAAAATCAAGACACATTTTTAAATATTTAAAAATTAACTTTAGGACTATGCTTATCAACAGTGTATGTTTATGTCATATACCACACATTTAGTTAATAAAATAAATAAGAATTGATGACACATGTCTCAGCTTTCAGGCTGAGGCAAGAGGATCATGAGGTCAAAGCAGCCTTGCCTGCA